TGTATTGATCAAGTTATAACTCAGGGAGGTTACTGTCGTTCAGTATGTATCGATCACGCTATAACTCAGGGAGGTTACTGACGTTCAGTATGTATTGATCAAGTTATAACTCAGGGAAGTTCCTGTCATTCAGTATGCATTGATCAAGTTATAACTCAGGGAGGTTACTGTCGTTCAGTATGTATCGATCAAGCTATAACTCAGGGAAGTTTCTGACATTCAGTATGTATTGATCAAGTTATAACTCAGGGAGGTTACTGTTGTTCAGTATGTATTGATCAAGTTATAACTCAGGGAAGTTCCTGACATTCAGTATGTATTGATCAATCTTTCAACTCCTCTCTTAGAACCATCTTGAAAGTAACTGATACACATGAGAACGAAGTCTTAAAAAGTTCTGTAGTGAGTGCAGTGAATTAATACGTCATCTGTCATTACAAATATAGAGATATACAATGTAATATATATATATATGCACAAAATTGCCACAGTTGAGAGACATTTCCTTTACAATGATGTTGTATACGTATAGAAACAAGTCGTATTTAGAAATGAGTATTTCAAAGTATGCTCAACATTGAACATGAAGAGAAACATCCGCCTGAGTTATTAATTTTATCATTAATTTACCAATGTTATGGATTTAAATCAGAAGATTTCGTACTTCTGTATGAGGATTTAAGTATGGTCCTAAAAACTAAAAAAAAAAATCATTGGGCCAATTTTCGTTATTCTTTGTTGTTGTTTTTGTGAACACACTGGTAGAAGTTCCAAGTAATAGAAACTCTAATCATTATTCATGCTCAGATTCCTGCACCACCCGCAGTTGCAACAAGTTTAGTTGGTCTCAGATTCCTGTACCCCCCGCAGTTGAAACAAGTTTAGTTGAACTCAGATTCCTGCACCATCCGCAGTTGAAACAAGTTTAGTTGATCTCAGATCCCTGCAAAACCCGCAGTTGAAACAAGTTTAGTTGATCTCAGATCCCTGCACCATCCGCAGTTGAAACATATTTAGTTGACCTCAGATTCCTTCACCACCCGCTGTTGAAACAGGTTTAGTTGCTCAGATAACAGAGGAAGGGCTGGGAAATAAATGAAAATAAATTATCATATGTATGCAAGTATTTGGGATGGACTAGTGGGTAGAGAAAGAAACTCGCAGGAAATTATTTACCAGAGTCTCTCAATTCCTTGTTTTACCACTGCTTGTAATACTACCAAGAAGTTTCAAAATTAACATGCTCAAAACTGTTTTAGAGAGCATTTCAAAAGATTAAAACAAATTACGAAGTTATAAAACAACCCAAGAGGTGATAAAGAAATAAATAAAATGGGCACGATTGTGATTTTATTTTCTCTGTTTCTATTTGAAGTAGTGTTTTGTTTCTTTTACAGTATCGTAGAGCTGACCTTTGGTTTATTAATAAAATATATACAAATTAAAGAAATGTAACTGTCTCTGAAACCTTTTATCTTCGAGACTTCGTGGTTTGTGTCTCATTGTTGGAAAAATGTGCTCCACACTTTGAGGACGACGATCATATCTAAGTTTTTTTACGTTAGGCAAGAGATATGAATTCATTAGGCTATTCCGAATGTTATTAGAAATAACAAATTTTAGATAAATATAAAATTCACACTCTTTTATACATAAATGTCAGTTTATTTGGTTGTTTATCTTCGAAAGAGACTCCACAAGTTAGTACAAAAAAGTTTATATTTTAGAATCGTGTTTTTTTCAAAACTCTTGTCTCGGTTAAATCGAATAAACTTCTAACTTTTTCACTCGACAAATTCGCATTATTTGATAGAAATATGTAGCTTTCCGTAATGTGTTTTTTTTTTTACTACAATAAATATTTTGTTGGTTTGTTTCAGAATTTTTACACAAAGCTACACAAAATTCTATCTGTTTCCGTCCCTAATATTTTGAACTGATATACTAGAGAGAAGGCAGCTAATGAAAGCTCCCAACGCTAACTCTAGGGCTATTCTTATCTAACAAAAAGTTCGATTGGACCGTCACTCTTATAATGAACCAACAGCTCCAAAGCAAGTTTGTTTTTTCGGAAACAGGACACGAACCATGAACCATTGTATTCACATTTTAGTCACGTTAGCCATTAATTCTTTGTCTGGCTGCTACTAGAGTACAAAAGGCCATAATTAAATTAGGTCCAGTTAGTGTATCGTGTATAATGTCACCATGTTTCCAGGAGAAGCTTCTTTGTGTATTTCTATTCTTTAATCTGTTACATTCTGTAAATTTATCTGTCAGTATGAATGTAAATAAATACACAGAAATATTTAAATTATTAAGTCAGGCATAACCCTGTGATTACTCGCACAGAGCTGCGATCGGAAAGTCCAGGGTTCCAACCGCGACTCCACTGTATGCTTTATAAGTTAAAAATGTGGGTTTTATTCAGTTCAGGGGTTTTATAATATGTAAATTTGATATATGTTTTTCAAGTGTCATTTTTACCTATATCAATCATTTAGTTCCCATTTATCCGTAACCTTATCTAGTGAAAGATAAATATATATATGAAACCTTTTTACACGTGTAATGTTAAGTTACTATCATTAATTAAATGTAACTGTTGATTTACTACCGGTTTTCAACTGTTTAATGTGAAGGTTGATTCAAATAAGGTTTTCCTGATGTCGTTTCGTATGCAATGGTCCACCGGTGGGACAAAGTTATGTCTTCGGGTTTACAACGCTAAAAAATCAGGGGTTCGATTCCCCTCTGTGGACACAGAAGATATCCCGATGTGGCTTTGCTATAAGAAAACATATACTCGTATGCAATGAATTTTCTATAGTATCCTGAATCAATTCAGTTGTTCCAACTAAATTAGTCTTGTTTTTAACAATATAGCCAGATAGTTTTATTTAATAGCAACATATATCGTAAACTAACAATTAAGTTGATTCCAGTGAGTTATCTAGACCTCAAAGAATTGAGACTTCTTTACAAAGTCTAAAGAACACTTCAAACTCTCGCAGTAGACCTACTATTTTACTTAGAAATATTTCAACGAAAATCAAGTTTCCGAGGCCAGTAACGTTTAGTATATAATGAATAGAGTTTTGTGAGTTCCGTTCACGTAAAAACAAAAACGAAATAAAGTTGAATTTGTTTGAAGTTAAGCACAAAGCTACATAATGGGCTATCTGTACTCTGCCCACTACGGGTATCAAAACCCGGTTTCTAGCTTTGTAAGTCCGCAGACATACCGCTGTGCCACTGAGGGGGCCTGAAGTTGAACATGACTGCATAAAATATTCACACAGAACTCTGTAAAGCAGTGAATAAAATATTCACACAAAACTCTGTAAAGCAGTGAATAAAATATTCACACATAACTCTGGAAAGCAGTGAATAAAATATTCACGCGTAACTCTGTAAAGCAGTGAATAAGATATGCCCACACTGGTATAAACTTTACATCCTTATCCATTTCAAACTATGAACTGCAACTTACGTGCATTTATTTAAATAGATTATCTAATGTAAAACATATTCATATTTTTAGGCTACAAAAATATTAGTTTAAATATGTAACCGATTCTCTCATTTCTTTAAATAAAAGTAGTACAGTCTTTCAGATATTTTAACCTTCACCTATTACTTATTTCTTGTGATTTATTAAAATGCTACATATGATTGAATGCAAAATTTCCTTTCAAAGCCATTCACATAAAGCAACACCATAACAATAAACGTTTTACAAATATTTTGCAAAAAACGTGTATTTGTAATAAACTAAACCGTAAGCTTAGATGAAACGTTATCAAAACTGTACACTTGTTGTTTTCATGCATAAATAGTTGTTGCACGTAAGGCTATTACTGTAAATATTTGTAATAGACGAAACCGTAAGCTTAGATGAAACATTATCAAAACTGTACACTTGTTTTCATGCATAAATAGTTGTTGCACGTAAGGCTATTACTGTAAATTATTGGCTTCGTATTGTACTTTTGTAGTTCGTTGTTGTCGTCATTTTAGTTTGATAAGTACTTACCGGACTTCTCTTTGAATCTCATGTTTTTTATCTTCTATTTTCGGTGTACTGTTACGGACAACTCCCTTCCTTCACTTTAGAGATAGAAAGATTTGAGAGTGCCTACGGACGAGGTGAGTATGATTCTAATAACTCATTTTATTATAACTTCTGTATGTATGTTTCATTACTCAGTTATTTATATAATAAAATAGACTATTAAAAAGTAATAAAAAACATCTAAAGGTTTTTTTAAAGTATTGTGTATTAATTTTTAATTCAATTAAATAAAATGACAACTATGCATTTTCCAGCTATTGGCTTAGACCATATTTTTAAATGATTGACTTCTGTCGGGCTGGATCTAGTGGATTTGGAGGCCCAAGGTTTAAGCCCATGATATTTCGCTGAATACATTCAGCACTTTCAGCTATGTGAATCTCATTATTCAGTTATAAATAGTCTTGTAGATGGCGAACACCACAGATTAGTTGCCCTACTACTGATGAGAAGTTTTGAATTATGATAGCCTATATTTAAACATTAGGGCCTTTGACCTGGCTACCTAGCCAATGTACCGCATAGTATGACGTTCTGGTTGAAAATACCCTCTTCTGCCCCATACGCGAAAATAATTGTCCACATTCATAAAGTCATCCCATTCTGAAATCGAGCTTTTTTGTATAAAACGTCGAAACACTTAAAATGTATCAGCATTTTTATATTGTTTTTATAAACTTTGAGTGCTGACTGAAGGATGGAAACAGTTTTCAATGAATACGGCAAACAAGTTCAGATCAATGTTTATATATTCTATTCAACGTTTCGGTTTACGCCCTTATCAAGGGTCTATAAACACCACAGGTTAAAACAGATTTAAAATGATAATAACCGAAAATAATGTAAAAATACAACTTTTCGGTTACTATCATTATAAATCCGTTTTGTAATCTGTGATGTTAATAGACCGTTGATAAAGGAATAAACCGAAACGTTGAATAGAATATACATAAACATGTATCTGAAGTTGTTTGTCGTCTTCATTGAACATGTGTCAGCATTTCTTTTCCAATTTAATAAGTAGAGGTTAATGGTTGATAAAACTAACAGGAAATACGTGGAACATTGAACTCAATAGTTTTCATTCAATTATTTGTTTCTCCTTTGAAAACTTGCGCTCTTACTTTATTGTTTGCATTCTTCTTTAAATGGGAATAAATGAATGTGTTTAGTACATTTGTTGTGGCAGTCGTTCATCAATAGTTGTCATGGTTAGCAGCGTGTACGATAAGCTGAGTGTAATTATTAATCAACTACTTTTCTCATGACTACATACTAAATAGTATCTAGTTCATACCTTACGTTTCGCCTGCTAATATGGAAACGTCTGTAGGAAAGACCCTGGACGAATTGTAGCATACCAGCTCTTCTATCAAGACTAAGGATCGTATCTCAGCTATTATATCCAAAAGCACAGTCCTACTAAGGAATACCTTAAAGAAGGCAACATATTAGCAGCCGGGACGTAAGATATAACTACTTAGTAGCTATTAAAGCTAGACATTAGTCTGTTGTCTGTCAGTCAGTCAGTAGACACTGAAATGACGTCACATAAAGGACACTTAACGTTGCAATTTCTACTGTCGTGACGTCAGTAAAACGTGCGCATGCCATGGGTAACGAGAATAATTATGCACTCTGTAGGCTACGATACAGAATAACATATACACCTGAAAAGCAAGAAATAAAAATATTTGTTACTCTTAATTTTGGTTTTATTTACTCTTGCAATACAACATTTTCAAGAACCCTGTGGAAGTACATCTAGTAATTAGTCTTAAATGATTGTGTAGGCTACCAAACATGATATCCATATTTTGTTAGTTTCGCAAATTATGTGAAATCTTCATCCTGAAATATTAAATGAAATCAGTCTATTTTATTTATCTATCAAACTCTCTCGTACAAAGGTGGTTATTTACTTCTATAGACAAGTATCACTTCATTAAAATAAAGATAAAATGTAATCACTTGATGGCTAAGTTAAATGTTTTCTTATCATACACCCTCTCCGAATTACTTCTAGATATTCTATGAGACGAAAACTTTCAAATGAATTCCAACGCATGTTGTTTTCGTATTTTGAAAAGAAGAATTAGCATAGAGATAGGCTCTTGGTCGCCAGATGAATTCTTATATTAACTCTTTTACCATTTACATGCACGTGACCTTGTCTTATATTGAGGTTTACTTCATCTTAGGAATTGCATTTCACATTGGTGAACCTTGCAAAAGTATTTGTATTGAAATCTTACACCCCATTTACTGCAACACAACAAGTAACCGCTGTGAGTGCAAACGGGAGTATCCAGTAAACATCAATAATCATGTGTGTGTTAAAGGTAAGTTGTGCTTTGTAATAAATAATTAAACACTGTTTTAAATATCTAGATAGCTTAAGTAAAGGTAGCTTTTATGTTAAAAATACGCACAAAGAGCAAATAAGTGCTTGATAGAAATATGGATTAAGAGCTAATCATCATTTCTTTCTTAGAGAATCTGCTATAAAATATTTTAAACAAAAGATAAGGGTGGTAAAATTTATGTGTTGGCTATAGATTAGGGTGGTAAATGTATTTGGACAAGAGGTCATGCTGCTAACAAACTATACGCGGGCAACAGGATGTTAAACTAAAATCAAGCAAGAAGTCAATATTTTAAACTATATTTGGACAAGAAATCGGGTTATTAATAATTTATATTTGAATGCACGTACAATAAAAATGTTTTTTGTACTATATTTAACAAATTTAGGAAATTAGTATACAATTTAAATACAATATGTGACGACTTGTCATCAGTAATAAAACTTCAGTATTTTTTGGAAAGACAATTTTTTTCATTTTATTTATATACGTGTAGTGTCAAGAGTCAAGAATTGTACAGATATAGATATGTACATATACTAGCATGGCTATTTTAGTTTTTATTCATCTAACGTAGATTATCAGCATCAAAACTACTTATCTTTTTATAAAGCATATTTTTAGCTTTTAAAGGTGTCTTGTCACTTATTTATGGGTAAGTTTTCCAGTTAAGATAAAAAAAATATTTTAAGCGAAAAACATGCTCTAGGTTTTGATTAAGTTTTAAAATACTAAAAACATCAATGTGAAGCCACGCCTATCATTTGATTTACCACATATCACTGTGTTATACCGGTTTAGGGGAATTCCACCCCTCATTAGTAACCCTGGACAATAGCAAATCTAAGGAATTAGACAGGGCTTCATAAAGTATGATGTTCGAGATATATTTGTCTCACGTCTGTTTGTTATTTTTCAATATTAATATTATCAAGTGCTGAAGATTTAAATACTCTAAAGAGTTAGACAAGGCTTCATAAAGTATGATGTTCGAGATATATTTGTCTCACGTCTGTTTGTTATTTTTCAATATTAATATTATCAAGTGCTGAAGATTTAAATAATCTAAGGAATTAGACAAGGCTTCATAAAGTATGATGTTCGAGATATATTTGTCTCACGTCTGTTTGTTATTTTTCAATATTAATATTATCAAGTGCTGAAGACTTTTATAGAACGTAACGTATGATACCATATAATACTGTCTTACAGTTCTTGCCTGTCAATTCTCATAAGTAAGCAGTATTTATAAATTGTAAGATTTCAAGAACCCTGTGTAATGTAACAAGCAGCCACACCTTTTATTGTAGGTCCTGGCTTTATCTACTGTAGTTTTGTGCTGGAGTACATTTAAAACAATTAAAAATGACTTTAATGGAAACACGAATAAAGACAACAACTATATTTCACGTTAAGAAAAGAAAAATATCAAACTTTCGCCCCCAATTTTTTTCCCTTTAGAGACTAAATTGAAACACCTTTAGTGGAGAAGGAATGATTGTTATTATCTTGTTTTTCCTTTTAGAGACTAAGTTGATACACCTTCAGTGGAGAAGGAAGGATTGTTATTATCATGTTTTTTTCCTTTTAGAGACTAAGTTGATACACCTTCAGTGGAGAAGGAAGGATTGTTATTATTTTGTTTTTCCCTTTAGAGACTAAATTGAAACACCTTTAGTGGAGAAGGAATGATTGTTATTATCTTGTTTTTCCTTTTAGAGACTAAGTTGATACACCTTCAGTGGAGAAGGAAGGATTGTTATTATCATGTTTTTCCCTTTAGAGACTAAACTGAAACACCTTCAGTGGAGAAGGAAGGATTGTTATTATCTTGTTTTTACTTTTAGAGACTAAGTTGAAACACCTTCAGTGGAGAAGGAAGGATTGTTATTATCTTGTTTTTACTTTTTTAGCCACCATATTAGAAGCATTTTAACAAGATATCTAAAGCTGGAACATCAATTTTGAGCATAATTTTAATCTTTTTTTATTAATCGACTTAGTTAAAATGAAAATTATGATATGAACATAAATGTTATTTTCGATATAAAAAACAAATGGAAAAGATAAGATATTTCTACTTATTCTTGCACAGCGGCCAGGTTACTGGAAAACTGTAAATTTAAAGAGTCGTGTACTTTTTACGACGAGAATACCGTATGTAATGAGGAAGGAGTATGTCGTTGTGAGTACGGATTTAGAAATCATGTTGTAGCTGGAGAAGAGCTTTGTATTCATAGTAAGTATTCACCCGTTTGATCTCTTCAAGTAAACGTCTATAATAATGTTACGTGACGTCTATGTAGCAACAAGGTCATAATAATATTTACTGCTATGTTTTCTTTGTATGCATTTGGAATAGGAAGGATTAGGTACAAGGTGATATACATATTATTTTATATTTAAAGTAATAGGTAATGTAGATATTTAATCTAAAACATCCTACCAGTGTTTATAACATTATCTGTTTTCTGTCTAGCTCTCTAAAAACTTGTTGTAACTAAAACTCCATTATAAAACATCTGAGTAAATGTTAATAGTAAATATGCAACGTAAATTTTCCTATCTTTGTAATTACATTACCGAACTGTAATACTTTTTGTTGAATTTCGAGTTCGTTGTAATAGGAGAAGAACATTCCACACCCTTGGTTTTCTTTTTATAAAAAGTGGTCAGTAGTCAGAGAATGTTTAGGTTTTAAATAAATAACCCTAACTGTCTCTAATAATGTATTTATTGGTAGTTTTCTTTATTTATAACTACGGGCGCTTGTTAATTCTGTGGTAGAGCTCTGGATTTCAGAACTGGCGATCCGGGCTGTAATCTGTGCAATATCACAAATTATCACCCGCACTTTAAGCTGAGGGTGGGTTATAAAATAACAGTCAATCCCTTAGTATAAGAAGCTGCTGTCTGAATGTCTTTCATCTGTTATGTAGTTAAAGATTAGGATGGCAACAGAAAGTCTTAGTAGCTTTGTCATAAACACAAATACAAAACACAAAAAATTTATAGCTTCAGGCTAACAATAATAGTTATTGCAGGTTTCTCTATCTTTATAGGATCATGCTTATAGAGTTCGATACCTTCAATAGACATAGGTAATAAGAGATCTTTTGTATCTGACGATTCTGTGATATTAGAGAAGTTTTATAACGCACACCAGAGGGCATCCATGTAACCGGGAGATTGTTCATAATTCGCGTTTTCATGGCCTGGTTATGGAGCACATATTAACCTGCATAATAGTTGTATTAAATAATCATATCTGTGTTTTAATTTATATAATTATTGGTATAATTCCACTTGATTAAATTCCATTTTATTACACATATATAAACACACACAAAATATTTTGATATTAGTTTTCCTGTTCAATGGCTTATGGTTTATAAAACTACAATAAATTCCGTATTCTACTCTCTTCAATGACTCATGGTTTATAAGTTTGTCTTTATAAAAAAAATCCATTCTTTTCTCTGCTCAGCGAATCATAATTGTCTTTAAAGCAAATATTGTATAGCCTGTTCTCTTCAATGACTTGTGATATGGAGAACCGTATGTTCAAAAATCTTATACTTTTTCTTACTCTTGTACTAGCTGGAGTACCTGTCCCCAAATGAATGTCCATACCAAATTTGGTGAAGATCCATCAACAACAGGCGAAACAGTGGTAAAAACGCGAAAATGCCCATAAAAAACGCAAAATGCAAAACTGAAAATTTGCATGTACCCTCACATGGACCTAATAAACCTCCATACCAATTTTGGTGAATATCCATCCACACCCTGCAAAGTAGTATCATATTTATATAAATTCATTCGAATGAATTGACCATATTTTAGCAAACGTTATTCCCATCAAAAGTGTTTTAATAATTGAATTTTGATTTCTCTAAGGGGTTTCAAATATTAGTCGTGCCTTTCAACTTTCTCAACACAAACTTGAAGGTAAATAATGAACAATTTTAAAATATGAGCTCTTGAAGAGCTTTCATGAAACCTCTTTTGGGGGGTTGATAGATAAATACTAAGTGTATGCTATCTGAGTGATAGACATGGATACAAGTAAATAAGGTAAACTAAGCATCAAAAAGTATTTAGAAATTACGAGTTCATGGACTCCATGTGGGCTCTCTCAGCAAAAATATTTCACTATATTTCATTTAAGATAATTGCTTGATGAAAATTTTATTAAAATACATTTATGTGAACACATATATTTAACTTTTTACTACTTGAAGCCAACGCCAAACGAAAATGACGTTTAATGCTGTTCGTAGTACGGGTACATTGAGTATGAGATCCTTGACTAATAACATATTTTAGAAGGCTAACCACCTGGCTCTGTTATCCTTGAGTGACCGATGTCCAGCACACAGCTAGCGCTGAAGGACTATTATAATTATGAAAACAAATTCAACGACATTCAACGCGAAATTCAACAACAACCTTTTTTTATTGTTATTAGGTATACCTCAGGTTACGTTAAAAACTGCTCTTAAACAGGTAACTGGTAGTTATTTTCACGGTAATATTATTATGCTTTTCAAAATATTGTGTTTCATACGTCTAGAAATAGTTTTTGATTATTTTATTGTCGTCCTTTATTTCTCTGTTCATTATTATGTTTTGTTGCTAATCCCCTGGGATTTATAACTGAGTTTATATAAGTATTAAATACCATATCGAACACTATGAGCGTGATCTTGCATCATGATGTAAAAATCAGTCGATCTGAATTTATTCTGTTTTTATTCCAATATATCACACAAAAAGAGACAACATAAGGCCTGAATAGGCATTAAAGCTACTAACACGTCGTGTTAACATCATAAAACTTTCGCAAAGAAGTAATGGCTAGAAACTTCTATGTAAAAAATCTAGGAACATTTTATCTCAAAAGTTGGCTTGGTTGGAGAGTTTCAGATGCCCAAGTAGACATAAAAATTCACGAGGGAGCCACTAAATGACATCAGTGGTGATTTCCTATATTTTCATAGCTCATTACTTTCTGATTAAATGTCAAAAGGAGAAACTCGACCAACGTTTTTAATTTGTGTATTAGTGTGTTAATGATGTGGGTGATTGTCAGATTCATGTTAGTACATTTATTGGATGAAATACAGACGTAATTCAAACCACGCCGACATCACTAACCTATAAAGATACAAAAGAAAATAATAATAAAAGTTTGTTTTTGTTTATTTGTTTTTTGAATCTCGCGCAAAGCTACACGAGGGCTGTCTGCGCTAGCCGTCCCTAATTTAGCAGTGAAAGACTAGAGGGAAGGCAGCTAGTCGTTACTACCCACCGCCAACTCTTGAGCTACTCTTTTATCAACGAATACTGGGATTGATCATCACATTATAACGCCCACAGCTGAAAGGACGAGCCTGCTTGGTGTGACGGGGATTCGAACCCGCAACTCTCAATTTGCGGGTGAAGCGCCCTAACCACCTGGCCATGCCTGGTGGCACACAAAGCTACTGTAAGGCTAACTGTCGCTAATTTTAAAGTGATAGACTAGAGGATAGACAGCCAGTTAATCTTCTATCGTCAACTCGTGGGCTTATCTAACTGAATAGTGGTATTTGACGGTCACTCTTATAACGTATCCACGACCTCAAAGTGCGGAGCGCTGTTTTTATTTTGAGCAGTAACGGGACGCGAACCACGAACAACAAGAAGAAAACTGACGAACATTTTTCAATTCAAAGACTTCTAATTAGCCTTTTTAAATAAAGTACAAGTACTCAAACGTATGAATGGCCCATTAGAGGGATTATAACGCTAAAATTCAGAGTTTGATCCTAGCAGTGACGCACAACGCTGAATAACAGTTGTGAAGTTCTGCTTTTGAAAAACAAACCCTTCGCGTCTCAATTAATTTTACGATCTCGATACGTCAAGTCAATTGTTTTATTGATTGTGGTGAGGATATATGTTGTACGACAACTATAAGAAATATCTCGTTATTTTTGAAAATATTATTGCAGTTTTCACCGTAAATTAAAGTTACAAATATATAACTGTGTAGAAATGTAACATGTGTCAAATAAGTATTTTCCTTTCAGGTGGAGGAAATGGAATCCTGGAAAATTCCAACATTACCACTGCTATAATAGTTGTTTTTGGTGTAATGACAGGAACCGTTCTATTCTGTCTTCTTCTTAAACTATTCAGCAGGTAAGGTTAGAAATTAGTCTTAAAGATGACTTTCATGATTTTTTTTTTTTACACTTGGTACACTGACAAATATTTACAACCTACAATTAATTAAATGTCAACTTTGGTCTAAGTGTAAAACACATGTGTAAAGTTATTCAACAAAAAAACACTCAATTTTGACCAAATATTTGCGCACGCCTACGCAAAAAGGCACGTGAGCTATCGGTCTAACATATTTACTACAGCTTCACGTAAGAGCAAAAGCGAACCGTTTTTAGTTGTTTTTTTTTACATTAGGATTAAAACGGCTTATATAGAGCAACTAAACTATAGGGTAAAAGTACGTGCAGATACATAAGCATTGGTTAGGCCAAGCAAGCTAGATTATCAGTTTCTAGCTCAAGTTTTCATAAGAATCATACAGGTGAACGGTTATTATTGATTATTCATTACCAACTTTTCAGCAGAAATTTGTAGAATTTTATTAAATTATTCTAATTAAATAGTTTTAGCGTCACGTGATATTAGCTTAAGCAATTAGCATAAATAATGATTCTTGATACGGCTGCATGCAGGTGATGAAAAAAAGC